TATCTATAGTTGAATACTTAATAAACATTATTTTGCATTGCAAAATAGGACACACACCCAGCTGTCTGCTAAGGATTATAACCATTTCTTCCTAGTGGCATGGAGTTATCTTCTGAGTTCTCTTCCAATTCTAGAGTTCTAATTTTTCTCTGTCTGATGGCTATTGGTAATGGAATATGAGTAAGTGTGAGCTCTATTTTGTAAAGAAATTGATGAATGATCCTCAACACATATGTTAAAGCCAAGAACAAACTGAGGCTCACATCAGTCTGAAAGGACCTCACATTTAAAACTTAATTTTGGGAATTATTTCTGGATTTCAATAGCTTCCTTGGGTAGAAGAGCTTATCACATAGATGGAATGTCTAACTTACAATAGTAAATAGCCCATAAACTCCAAATTCATCAATAAGAGACAATAAAATAGTGCAAGGAGGAAATTTACAGGAAAGAATTGTGGCAGGATTGAGGTGGGGGTGATATATGAGGGAGAGAGAGTGGTTGGAAATTTATTTGCAAATAGATCAAAGTCTCAGTCCCATAAACATTAAAGTTCTCTGGACTTCAGAAAGTGAGTTATATTTAAGATTGCTTTAACTTGCATTATTGCACTAGAATAAAATCTCCTTGTCTTCAGAGGTTTAGAGTCTAATGAGAAAAATGATGAAAGACAAAATAAATATAATGATGGTAGAAAGAGCTACTACACTCACTTGACAGGAGGAAATAGGTTCACATATGCACAGATATATTCATCCACATTTATAGTTTGTAATCATTTTTGTTTGTTGGTGGGGCTTGGATTGGATATGCCTATGTTGTATGTTGGCAGTTTATTTGGAAAGTAAAAAAAAAAAATGAACTAAGCCCATGGAAAGAAACATGCAGGAGGCTTAGAGGTAACAATGCCTGATGCCCTTACATAGCCATTCCCTAGCCTCTTGCTTCTTGTCTTGCCATGTTATCAATCCATCCTTCTCATGCATGTTTCTATCATGATGCCATCCACTATGTTGCGATGTAGTTCGAAGGCTATCAGCAAAAGTGGGCAAAAAGCTAAAAAAAAAATGCTTTTCTTTGAAAATTACCCAGTCTTTGGTATTTTATTATAGCAACACAACATAGGCTTAACACACATTTGCATTAATGAGAAAATAACTGAAATCAATATCATCAAAATGGTAGAATGAGTAGTGTATGCCAAAAGCCTATTGAGGCAAAAAAAAAAAAACTGTCACAATTTATTTGTTTGAAGTTCTACAATATAGCCAAAAGCCTGGAGAAACTAGAAAAATGCTGAATCATAAAAGTCAGTTGAGTTTCAGTAAGAATTAGCATTGTGTTCCCATCCCCCAGGAAGAAAATAGGTCACATCTCTGTAATATGTTGATATGAGAAGGGCCATATTGGGTCTCATGGGCAAAGAACTGTGGTTGTTTTGTTTTGACCTGCTGCGTGACTTGCTGGAGGACCAATGCAAAGAGTTTGGCTTTATCTCCCTTAACCCAGAACCCTCCAAATGCTGAGTTAGTTACCCAGGGGAGATTTGTCAAAAATACTTACATGCAAATGCCTTAACCACTGCTGCCTGAGGCAATGGATAATAGCTGAGGCAAATGATAGACTAATAACAACAAAAATAATGAGCAGGAACTTTGGGAAATGAGATTCATAGGGAGTTTGAAATGTCTGGTATGCCAAGGAAAATCTAGAAGGCCATGTGCATGTTCAAAAGAAACCCGATGAGACTGAATCCTCACCCCTGGATGACTCTCAGGCTCTGCACAAGCAAGAAATGACAGCTAAGGGAAATTGTAGGATATCTGGATAAGTATTGAAGGTGTGCCACAACACACACACACACACACACACACACACACACACACACACACAGCCCCTCTGCAAAGATCCCAATCCTCAAAGGTTGTTTTGTTTTGTTTTCTTGGTTTCAGGAGTTTAAAGAAATCTCTTGTCTAATCACTAGATGACCACTATCTCTATACATCAGAGACTTTAGTCGTCACATGTAACAAAGAGTACAGACTTTACAAAATTAGTTGTGAACAGTACCTAAGTACAAAAAAGCAGCAACAACAAGCCTGAGGGATTGTTTACCAGAACTACCATGTTATTACAAATATTCACTTCTTAGCTGAGTGTCCTAGTGCTCAGGAGGATAAACAAGTTCAAAGTTAGCCTCAGCAATTTAATGAAGCCCTCAGCAACTTAGCAAGACCTTGTATCAAAATAAAAAATAAAAAGGGCTGAAGATGTGGCTTAGTGGTTACGCACCCCTGGGTCCAATTCCCAGTACCCCCACTCCACACACACACAAGCCTGAAAAAGGAGGAGGAGGAAGAGGAGGAGGAAGAGGAGGAAGAGGAGGAGGAAGAGGAGGAGGAGGAGGAGAATTTAAAAAAAAAAAAATCCTGAGGGTTATTTCAAGGAACAAGTATTGCAGTATTGCACATGCACAGGAAAAAAAGCAATAAATAAAAATGGTCCCTAAGGAAATGCAGACAGACATTGAACTTAGGAGAAAAGACAGTAAATCAGCTATTTTAAATATGTTGAAAAGCTAAAGTAAACCCAAGCAAAGAATAAAAGGAAGATGTGAGAATAATGGAAATACATGGAAATGATAATACATGGAAAACATCAATAGATAAAAATTATAAAAAGCAACTTAATATGAATAATGGGGATGAGATATCTGAAATGAAACAATGGGGTTGAGATATCTGAAATGAAAAATTCACTAGAACAGCTCAGCAACATATATGCGTGACTTGCTGGAGGACCAATGCAAAGAGAAGAAAGAATAAGTGAACATAAAGGAAGTTTGGTTTAAATTGAAGAAAAACTATTTTAAAAATGAAGACAGGGAAATTTTATGGGGCCTGTGGGACACCATCAAACATACTAATTTGTGTGGGAATTCCTTTAAAAGGGAGAAAACAAAGCACAGCAAATGCTGAATAAATTAATAATAGATTAAAAAAATTATTCAAATAATGGATAAAACTCTTCAAACTTAAGCATAAGACATTAATCTACACATTCAAAATGCTCAAATAATTCAAGATAAGATCAACTCAAAGAAAACCCCATTAAGATACATTATAGGGGCTGGGGATGTGGCTCAAGCGGTAGCGTGCTCGCCTGGCATGCGTGCCGCCCGGGTTCGATCCTCAGCACCACATACAAACAAAGATGTTGTGTCTGCCAAAAACTAAAAAATAAATATTAAAAATTCTCTCTGTCTCTCTCTCTCACCTCTCTCTCTCTCGAAAAAAAGACACATTATAATCAAATTATCAAAAGAAAATGATTCATGTATTCTGAGAAGATTGGTGAAGTAGAAAACACAGAAATCTATTCTGGATCTAGTCAATAATTGCACTGTCAGAATCTGTCTGACGTCATGATTTGGTACTCTGGAGTCTACAAAAGACTTGCAACTCCCAGGGCAAGACATAAATGGTAACTGTGGTTAATATCAGTAAACTTCAGCTCTTAGCACAGCTACCAATCCTACACTCAGAAAAGAGAATACCTCATCATATGCAAGGGATCTTCAATAAGCTTATAAACAGATTTTTCATAAGAAAACTTGGGAGATCAGAAGATATTGGACTTATACATTTAAAGTGCCAAAAGAAAAAAAAACTCATAAAACTATAAAGCAGGAATTCCATATCCAGGAAAACTGTCCTTCAAAAGTGAAAAGAAATTAAAACATTTCCAGATAAACAAAAGCTGAGGGAGTTCATTATCCCTAGACTTGCTCTGCAAGCAATGTAAATGCAGTCCTGTAGGTGGAAATAAAAGGACATTAGAAGGTAACTCAAAGTCATATAAAGAAAAAAATAATTTCAGGAAAGTAATTACAGAAATTATTATTTTATTATTGTTGACTTATTTATAGCTCCACATAAATAAGTTCTCAATATAATTTATAATATTAATGCATTAAAATTATCTGTTTATACCTGTGAATATACAATGTATAAAAATGTACTTTTCTGATATTAATAACTGAAAATGGGTGGGAATAGAACTGTTTAAAAAGCAGTTTTATATGTTTTCAAGGTTAATCTGATATAAATTAAAATTAGAATGCTGAAATATTAGAATGCTAAATGCAATTCCCATTTAACCATTAAAAAATGGGTAAATACATTACATGAAAGGAAATTAGAAATTTAAATTCTTCACTAAAAAAAAACTAATGTAATTAATGGGCTCCAATTAAGGGGTTTTTTAAAAAATTATATATATAATATATATATAATGGTTTTCCAATTAAGTTTTTTTTTCAAATTTGAAAACTATTCCATAAAAATAACCTGTCAAACATTCCCAACATTTCTGTCAATTATTCTGTCCTAGAGACAAAAATGGAAGAAGTGTGGTTTCCTTTCTATCTCCTTCTTCCTTCAGCTCCATTAAATACCACTGTTCGGCCTTCTGCTTCCCAGGAGGACAACTTCAACAATTTCTACTGAAGTTTGCAAAGCAGTAGTTTTTTTTTTTTCTTTAAAATTTATTGTTGGTTGTTCAAAACATTACATAGTTCTTGACATATCATATTTCACACTTTGATTCAAGTGGGTTATGAACTCCCATTTTTACCCCGTATACAGATTGCAGCATCACATCGGTTACACATCCACTGTTTTACATATTGCCATACTAGTGTCTGTTGTATTCTGCTGCCTTTCCTATCCTCTACTATCCCCCATCCCCTCCCCTCCCATCTTCTCTCTCTACCCCATCTACTGTAATTCATTTCTCCCCCTTGTTTTTTATTTTCCCCTTTCCCCTCACTTCCTCTTGTATGTAATTTTGTATAACCATGAGGGTCTCCTTCCATTTCCATGCAATTTCCCTTCTCTCTCCTTTTCCCTCCCACTTCTCGTCCCTGTTTAATGTTAATCTTCTTCTCATGCTCTTCCTCCCTACTCTGTTCTTAGTTACTCTCCTTATATCAAAGAAAACATTTGGCATTTTTTTTTTTTTAGGGATTGGCTAGCTTCACTTAGCATAATCTGCTCTAATGCCATCCATTTCCCTGCAAATAGTTGGTACTATCAATGACCTGGAGATTTGCTCAATGTGCATTAAACTCCAAATAAGTTCAGGAGCACACAACAAATATCAAAACTGTTAGTTTCATAACATAAGGGAATTTATATAACATGTATTCATTGTTTCCCAATATGATCTAATGAAGTATCTGATTTCCACTAAAAAAAATTTAATGTCAGATATGATAAAGGGATCAATTATTTATTCTGTTTCCTTCTTTATCTGTTACTATGTTTGCAAATAGTTTCAGTATAATCAGGAAAGTTTTACCCTTAGAGAACTAAGAACATGCTCTCGAATTTTCTTTGTCTTAATACCATCAACAATAGGGTTCAGGAAGGCGGGTACCACAGGGTACATATTTGCAATGAAGATGTGAACTTGGGGGGCCACATTATGTTCAAATCGATGAGTCAGGAAAGTGAAGCCAGCAGTAGAGTAGAAAACAACGAGGACACAGACATGGGAGCCACATGTGCCCAGAGCTTTCACACAGGCTTCTCTGGAGGGAAGACGAAAGACTGCACGGAGGATTAGAGCATAAGAAAAAGCCATGAAGAGACAATCACAGGAACCAATCACAAACGCTACACTGAGGCTATAACGCTTGGTGGCTCCTATGTCCACACACGCCAGCTTCACCACAGCCATGAACTCGCAGTAGGTGTGTGCTATGATTTGAGTTCTCCAGTGTGGGGGGGGGGGACTTGAGCAGGATGGGGTGTGGGGAAAAGAAGGCTACTCCCCACACCAGCACAGCAGCTCCCATTTTGGCAATGCGACTGTGGGTGAGAACTGTGGCGTGATGCAGTGGGTCACAGATAGTCACGTACCGGTCAATAGCCATGGCCAAAAAGAAGCCCGATTCCATGGCAGCAAAACTGTGGATGAAGAACATTTGAGCCAGGCAAGCATCAAAGGCAGTGTGGTGGGCTCCCAGCCAGAAGACACAGAGCATGCGCAGCAGCGTCGACGCGGACAGCACCAGGTCAGTCACTGAGAGCATGCACAGGAACAGCAACATGGGCTCCTGGAGACTTCGCTCTGCCCTCACCACAGCCAGGATGGTCACGTTCCCCACCACAGCCACCACATACATGGAGCAGAAGGGAATCCCAATCCAGACGTGCAAGTGCTCTAGCCCTGGGATGCCCATCAGCAAGAAGCTGTTTGGAGATATTTCGGACTTATTGGCTGGTTCCATGGTGCAGCTGCCTTCTGTCTTCTGTGAAAGAATCCTCCGAAGGCAAAAGTGTTCTGCCAAAGTCATTACCATGAATCTGAAAACAAACGAAAAACGTGTCTGGAAGATTCCAAACCATCACATTAGAAAGCTTTCTAAACTTAGAGTGGGGAGGGGGAGAGGGGAAACTTAGTGATACTAACAAAAAACCATGCAGCCAGGCAGAAGGCACTAGCTGCACAAGTCAAGAATCTGATGAATTTCCTTTAAAATTGTTGCTAATTATCTGTGAACAATAAAGTAAAAAATGAAAAAAAAAACTAAACATAAGACAGTAATGAAGAAAATTAGGGATACACAATCTTGTTCCTCTCGAGTCCCTGGCCATCCAGACAATACATGGATCAGTATATGATCACAAGTCTGGCTACAGTTGTCCAAGCAAAGCATATAACTGGCTGCACTGCTTAAAGTTCTGCACATTGGGAGGAATTTCCTTCACCCCTGTTCATGGATGTCCCAGAAAAGGGCTGCAGTACTACTGCTGCCCATATTCAGGCAGTGCCAATGTATCATGTGGAACCCTCTGTAGCCAGGCCCAAGTCTTCTCCTCTTTTGTTAACTGATCTTAGGGTATCTTGGAAGGTAAAGTTTTGAAATGTCTTTGAATATACATGTCAGATGATTTTAATGTGCTCCAAATTTTATCTGTATATCTACGCCTTTATCTCTCTTTATCCATCTCTGTCATTGGAGCAATATATCATGACTCGTAGTAGAGATAAATATACTAAGATGTATTATCAATGAGTTTGATTGTATTTGACAAGAAAACCTCCAAGTTTTAATAAAGATCTTTTTTTTTTTTAATAGTGAAATGTACTGAGGCGGGAGGATCATGATTTCAAAACCAGCCTCAGCAACTTAGCAAGGCACTTAGCAACTCAGTAAGACCCTGTCTCTAATCAAAAATTAAAAATGGCTGAGGATGTGGCTCAGTGGTTAAGCACCACTGGGTTCAATCTCTGGTATGAAGAAGGAGAAGGAGAAGGAGAAGGAGAAGGAGAAGAAGAATCTAATTTATGTGACTTCAGATAGGTCATCAATAGATTATATAGAAACAGAAAAATATAGTTTACCAGCATGCACCTGTGAACATCACTACTCCATGCATACTTGCTGGCTAGATGAAAGGTATAAGACTTTAACACATCTCTGTGAAGTGAGTGGAAGGTTTCAGATAATCCTGAAGAATAGTGGAATTTCATTTGTTTGCATTTATTCTTTTCTCCTCACAAACATTTTTTAAATGACAGATGTGCTTCAAGAGGATTGAGAAAATATCACTATGTAGTTTCTAAAATGACATACGAATTCAGACATCATTTCACTATCACATACTCATGACCTAAAAATAGGATGATATGCTGCATGATAATTATATAGCTAAGAGTACAGGATTGGGTTCCAGAATGCTGGGTTCAAGTTCTAACTTAGCCCTTAGCCAGATAAATTTGAACAATGTACCTTACCTGTATATATTTCAATTTTCACATGTATCATTCCAAAATCACAGTGTTCTTGAGATTAAATGTGATAATACATGTAAAGCCCTTAGGCATAAATATTAAACAAATGTTAACTATTATTAAGATAGTACAGTCCTTTATCTTTTTAAAAATGTTGGTTTTTTTTATACCTTTATTTTATTTATTTTTATGTGGTGCTGAGGATCGAAATTAGTGCCTCAAACATGCTAGGCAAGTGCTCTGCCACTGAGCCACAACTGCAGTCCAGTCCTTTACCTTTTGAAAAGAACATAAGCACATTATCTCATGTGATACCTTTAAATTTAAAGAACATGATCTTTTTCTCTAGCTTCTCCTCTTATCTATTCTTCTCTCTTTATAAACTACTTATCTTCTATTTCAGTCTTCTACTTCATGCACTCCTCAAAAAAGTGCTTGAAGCCTCATTGTCAATCCACCCCATGCCAGATACTGAATGTCTAGAAACTAGTCCCATTGTTTTTGTTTGTTGTTGTTGTTGTTGCTCTTTGTTTGTTTTTGTTTCTGGTACAAGAGATTGAACCTAGGTTCACTTAACCACTTAGTCACATACCCAACCCTTTTTATTTATTTATTTATTTATATTTTGAGACAGGTTCTCACTAAGTTGCTGAGGGCCTTGCTAAATTGCTGAGGCTGGCTCTGAACTTGCAATCCTGCCTCAATCCCCTGAGCTACTGGGATCATGGGCATGTGTTAATACCATCCAGCTGGTCCTAGTGTTTTATAATCACCGTACTACAAAGATTCTAATTATCTCATCATCAACATTAAGATTATTGCATTACTTGCTTCATCTATCCTTATTCTTATGTGAAAGTTTTTAAAGTAGATCTTAGATGAAATGTTATTTCACTTCTTATTTTAATCATCCTCCAAAATGTCAGTATTCTCCCATATAACCATAATGTCATTGTCCTCACATTGTTATTTGGAAACTGTATCAGTTAAGCCCTCCAAGAAGCATTAAATTGGTATTAAGTGTGCAAGAGATTTATTGGATGAAAGAAAAGGAGAAAGCAAGATTGAGTGAGAAGGAAGCATAGCACCATTATGCAATTGAAATAAAACCTCTGCCCGCTCACCAGGAAACTCTGGACTCACAAGGGACAAGATACTTGAACAGAAATGCCCAAGCCCATGTACCACATTCTTGTTCATGCCTTGGCTAAGAAGAAGAAAAATACTGAGGACTCTGGCTGCTGTCAGCTAACCACAAATATAGCTAGGGAACAGATACTTTTTTCATTGACTACCATGGATTCTTCTGTAAATACACAACTTTTCCTTATCAATATGAATTTCCCCTATAAGGAATTTATGCAGGAAAAACAAACATATGCCTAATTATTTTCCTTCCTATTACTAATTTTGATAATAATGAGTTATATCCTAGCTATTCTCTATGACCAATAAATTGTTGAATTGTATTTTGTGTTTTTATTTATATTGCTTTTGGTTTTCTAATTTTAGTATAATATTATAAACTCAAGGATTTTGTTTTGAACCATATTTAAGAATGGAATTTACTAGAAAGAAGTGGAAATTTCAGTATAAAATTAAAAACATCCATTTATTCCACTACTCTTTACTGAAATTTTGATGAAAATAATGAAGCATTTGGCTCCCACCAAACAGCTAAATGCACAGATAACAGAATTATAAATTCTCTCGTGGAACTCCCTTACTTAATTAAATTAAGAACTATAATTTTAAATAATTCTATCATTTTGTAAATTTGTACATTCTCCTTCCATTATGTATGTCAAATTATTATGGTTTCCATTCCTCCATTTAAATCCTCTCCTTTCTTTTCTATATATCTAGCTGCAATTTTTAAATTTTTATTTTGAAATAAATTCAGGTTCATAAAACATTGCAAAAACACAGCACAATGATTTTCCTAACATTTTTCACCCAGTTTCCCTGGAGCAAAGTCTTGTGGCTATTTTGGAATACATGGCAACCTTTAGAAGTGATGCCACTAATAAAGACAGTGGAATAAAAGATTGAGGGAACCTGGGTCCTGCCATACCAACTGAAGACTTCCTGCTTTGGATTTGCTATTCATGTGAGAGAAATAAAGTTCTTTTCGTGTAGCTGCTATTTTGAACATTCTGCTATATACAGATTAATCTCTTCTTAACTGATACCTAGGCCTCATGCCCATCCAGTACCATCATTCCTGCAGCACTCTGTACTATATTATTATTTTTAAAATGTTTTTTTAAGAGAGAGAATTTTTTTAATATTTATTTTTTTTAGTTTTCAGCAGGCACAACATCTTTGTTTGCATTTGATGCTGAGGATCGAACCCGGGCAAGGTGAGCGCGCTACCGCTTGAGCCACATCCCCAGCCCTGTACTGTATTATTTTAATGCCTATTCTCCCTTACCATGTTGTGTTATTTCATAACATTGTGGGGAAGGAGTTATGTCCTGAAATAATGGCTTCTGATATCCATGCTAAGCAGCCACTAAAACTTCACACAGTTATACAGTTTACCTACTTTATAAACCCAATATGTGAGTCAACATAAATTAACCTTTATTATATATAATTCCTATTTCAAATCATCTTAGAGTTAGAATGCCTGACGTTTGCCTTGAAATCAGATGTGCTTTGACTATTCAGTAGCTCTCTACCTAATTACAGTATATCACAAATTTCCTATATTCTAATAGTATCATCTGATGACAGTACTTGGTTGTAAGGTAAACAGGGTGGGAATTGACACTGTGACAGGAGATATCAGAGTGATTTTCTCATGGTCTCATGCTGGTGAGTTATAGTATAGAATCAGAACTAGCAAATATAGTCTCTGGATTCTGCTCCATGTTTCTACTATGTAATACATGGCAAAAGAAGCATCTTCATAGAATAAATGTCCACATGGAATATTCTTTAAAATCTTACATTTTAACACATAATGACTTCCAAATTCTTTAAATCACATTACTTTTAGTACCTCATATATAGTTTATTTATTTTCACTATATAATATGCATTTCAAAATAAGTAGTGAAATTTTTGACATGTATCATCAGGCATCATCTCGATGCCATCAGAGAAATCACATACTTCCAACTAAATCTACATTCTAAATGATTACTAAAGATGAAGCTGTATTATTTTTATGGTTGTTGCCAAGTCAATTTTGTGATTTCCCATTTCTGTAAGTTAATTGAGACCAATATTATATTACTTACTCCACAGTATATTTTTACACTGTGAATACAACATAATCTTAACAACAAGAATTACTACAGCTAGTGTTTACTTTTTGTTTCCTATTGCAATTCATAAGTCACACACAACATTTAAAATAAATTCTATTTGGTTTATTTACAAAAGCTGTTTAGTCAAGTGTCCAAGGTAAACTGTAATAATCACATGATTGTATTTTCACTAACATAAAAAATTAGGTAGGTTGTTTTTATTATAACAAGACATACACATATAATCAGAATATTCTGTAACTAAACCAAAATTTATATGTTTACTGGGAGATGAGATAATTACTCTAGAATTGCCATGGAAACTAGGACATTTTCAGGCAGACATCATTGAATCTTTATGACCATTTATGTTACTATTTCCCTATGTTTCAAATTTGCTTATACAAAAATGT